CAGTCCCTAGAGAACAGGTGCAGGTATAATAACCCACTAATATTGTTCATTTATATGTGTCAGTTAAGAGATCTATAACAGACAGATACAGTCCCTAGAGAACAGGTGCAGGTATAATAACCCATTAATATTGTTCATTTATATGTGTCAGTTAAGAGATCTATAACAGACAGATATAGTCCCTAGAGAACAGGTGCAGGTATAATAACCCACTAATATTGTTCATTTATATGTGTCAGTTAAGAGATCTATAACAGACAGATACAGTCCCTAGAGAACAGGTGCAGGTATAATAACCCATTAATATTGTTCATTTATATGTGTCAGTTAAGAGATCTATAACAGACAGATATAGTCCCTAGAGAACAGGTGCAGGTATAATAACCCATTAATATTGTTCCTTTCTATGTGTCAGTTAAGAGATCTATAACAGACAGATATAGTCCCTAGAGAACAGGTGCAGGTATAATAACCCATTAATATTGTTCATTTATATGTGTCAGTTAACCTCCCTGGCGGTATTATTATTTCAGATTTTTGGTGCTGAAAGCGGTACCAATTTTTTTGCATGGAAATATGTATTTTTTTTTATTGTAGGCCTGTAATTTAGGAATAACTCACTGAAATCTGTCCGAACAAGAGTCTAGTAAACAGTCCGGATATGATAAAACTTGAAACACAAAATCATAAATTATAATTTAATAAATAATCATAAAAAATAATAATATTATAATAATAAATGTAATTCAATAATATAATCAAACCAAAAACACTGAAATTTGAAATATAGCGCCAAGTTTGCACATCACTGAGCAAAGTCGCAGAATCGTTTTCAGTTGACGAATTTCCCCACGAATCATTATCACTCAATTCTGCAAGTGGTTCTGATTTACTGTCGTTGTTCTCTAGCCGGTCTAAAACCGCTTTTGACATAAAGGGATGCTTTTTGGACCCCATGGAGTAAGTTTCCAGGCAGAAAGAACAGTCAAAATGCAGGCAGGGCGCAGGACAAAGCAGTAGGGACAAAATGTATGTGAAATGTTTTGAAACAGCAATGTTTTACTATGTAATAATCATTTTTAAAAAAATGACATTTTTAAAAAAAAATTCAAATTTGCCGTCGGTTCCGACGCCCGTACGTCCCGACGTCACAGGGACCGGAACACAGAAGCCGGATGCCGGCATCGGCCGGAGGAGATGGCGGGGGATGCTGCAGGGGACGCATTGTGGGAGCGAAGGACAAGGTAAGCTCTGCAGGGACTCCCTATGCAACGCTGCATGGTAAGCCCGAGTGTAGCTCGGGGTTACCGCTTTGGTACTGAAACTTTACCCCAAGCTACACTCGGGAATACCGCCAGGGAGGTTAAGAGATCTATAACAGACAGATATAGCCCCAGAGAACATGTGCAGGTATAATAACCCACTAATATTGTTCCTTTAAATGCATCAGTTAAGAGATCTATGATAGACAGATAAAGCTTATAGAAAACAAGTGCAGATATGATAATTCACTAATATTGTTCCTTTATATGCATCAGTTAAGAGATCTGTAACAGACACATATAGCCCTCTCATTTAGTTCCTTGGAACATTGAAATGGATGAGGGGCTTTTTCCTACAGACAATCTTAAAATGTCCTCATTCTGTCTACTGGGTCTGCCAGTCACTGACCAAATTCACTGTTTTTTATATTTAGGAGATAATAAAAACAAGATAATTTTTATTAAGATATTGATTGTAATAAATGAGTATGGCACTTAAAAGCCCAATTAATTATCCTTTAGTGAGTATTTTTGGCATATACACTAAAAGAGGTGCGCATATGATGTTAAGCATTTTTTATACAGTTCTAGATTTGTGAAAAGCCTCCTGCCTAGGGCTGTACTGTAAGAGTATAGCGCCCTAAACATATATACATAATGACACCGCTTAACAAACATACTATCCTTTTGTCACAAACCATGCTTTTCAGAACCAGCATAAACCCCATTCTATAAAATTATAATCCTATGAGAAATAGAATATTTTTTGTAAGCATTAACTGTCCGTTTGACTTTTCTTGGTAACCCTTGCACCATTCCTCCACTAATTTTATTGCTAATGTTATCCACAACTGACCAGAGGATACCAAAATGAAAAAGTAAAAAAATTGACAAAAAGGGTAAATGCTGTGCCCATAAATACTTAACTGCCACTGGTTCATCAGTCCTTATAAATAGACAAGTAAAGTGCAGCACATTATTAGCAATGTCACCGTTAAAGAGGTTCTAAAGTCAATCATTTGTTACCTTTATGCATTCTCTCATTGGCGTGCGCACGGGGTTGGCCTTTTGCACCCAGGTCGGCAAACCGTTGATCCCGATCTATCCCTCAATAGTGGGCAGGTGTATTTTCCCCCTGCAGCGACTGAAGTAGGCTTCTCTTTCTCTCCCTCCCCCACCCGGTATTCAGCTGTTGCAGGGGATTGGTACAGTATATGCCACCCCTATCATCCTTCTTGTCCCTGTTCCTGTCTTTTTGCTGCCCAGGCTCTCCTGTGTGTTCCTTTGACCCCCCACTCTCCACAGTGTTGCCAGTTTCTCTCCTGTCCTCTCCTGGCAGCTACTGTGGGGGAACATCATGGAGAGCAGGGAAGGGGCAGGTAAGTATGTAATTTTCTGAATGTACACTGTGTTCATTCATAACTGAAACATAGTAAATTGTGTTTTCTATGCTTCAGTTTGTGAATAAACAAGAAGCTGCTCAGCACAAAGCACTTCCCATTCATTCACTGTCCAGTGCAGCTGAGGCTGCAGAGAAATGGACTGGGGGAATATCTACCCTCAGTCTGTTTCTCTGTCTAAAAAGTGAGACATCAGGGGTCTGTTTATATTGTAACATATAATTAAAAAAAAATTGTAAAAGAAAATAAAAATGAAAAAAAAAAACTGACACTGTCCACTGCCCTACTAAAATCAGTCCCTGCCCTATTGACACCATTCACTCAGCAATCATTAATGATAAAGTGGCACAGGGGTCTAGTGTGTTCAGCATTGCCTTGGGAAGGAGGGGGTGAACCACTAGCAAAAAGTCATTTTAACTGTGCATGAGCAGGCTCCATGCACACTAGTGCTTGCTAAAAAAACACTGGTAATAGTGTGTGTTAGTAACGTTTTAGTAGCGTTCAGAAATGTTTAGGAGTGTTAGCATTTATTAGCATTTTTATAGTACATGTAGAGATGAAAAAAGCTGTTAAGAGTGCTTGAGTAGCATTTAGGAGTGTTTAGCATTTTTTACTGCTGGAAAAATGCTCAAAAAAAACCTGAAAAAACATTTTTTTCCCCTCTTAGATGCTGAAGCTCAAAAATCGCTAATAGCCTAAAGTAGTGTGCATGGAAACATAGGATAACACTATTTAGCTTCTAGGAGCAGAAAAAATGCTAATAACAGATTCTAGGAGCTTAAAAAGCTAAAGCTAGTGTGCATGGAGCCTAAGACTTTTTTTAATTTAAAAATGTTTCAATACATTTTAAAATGTTTGTTTACATTTATTTATAAGAGTGTGTTTCTGTGTGTGTAATACATGATATAATATATATATTACACACACACCCCCACACATATGTGTGTTTAAGCTTTGGGGTGCATACCCTAATGCAATAGGCTGTGCACACCTATGCATTCTCATTAAAGTAGAAAACCTTGCGAATGCTGTTCTCTCTCCCGCTTCTCTCACAAGACATGGAGGCAGCAGGCCCTCCCTCCTAGATTGTAAGCTCCAAGGATCAGGGCCCTCCTATCCCTCTTGTATTGAACTGTATTGTTGCTGTATTGTCTCCCATTATATTGTAAAGCGCTGAGCAAACTGTTGGTGCTATATAAATCCTGTATATAATAATAATAATAATTCACATCCCATGAGCAGATAGTGGGGGGGGGGGGGGGGGGGCAGAGCCATGCTGTGTTTGTCAATTGACACACACAACCAGGGGCGGACTGACAACTCATGGGGCACCTGGGTAATAGGGGATCATGGGGCCCCTGTGTCCTTGCCCAAGCTCAAAAAAGCCTATGAAAAAAGGTACCAGGGGCATCTCATGGGGCCCCATACTGTGCCCGAGTTTCCAAATGGTCAGTCCGCCACTGCACACAACCCAGCTTGAGATCAAGCCTGCATGTCTGCCCCAAAGCAAAGGCTATGGAGGCAGACACAGCAGAGGAGGAGCCTGGAGTGCCAGCCAGAGACCCCAGAAGAGGAGGTCCAGGGCCACTCTGTGTAATACTGTTGCAAAGAGCAGATAAGTATAACATGTTTGTTATTTTAAGAAAAATAAACGTATCTTTACAACTGCTTTAATTTTCCCCCATCTGTTTTGAGATACATTTAGTATTGCTCTACAAAAATGATTTGCATTTCTATTGGGAGCATTTACATCTGTAACTAGATTGTTCACTTTGCAAGTTGTATTTTTCAAGGTAATTTTCCTCAGAGCTTAGTGAATGAGGTGAAGGTCTGCTGACTTCCATCATCCAATCATGTGTAAGCAAAGAGGCTGTGATTTCTTTGCAAATTTCACCTCATTCACTAAGCTCTAGGGAAAATTCTCATACAAAGTGCAACTTCCCTTGCAAACTGAACAGCCTGTTTTCCTTTAGTAAATTAACCCCAACGTCTCTTGACTGGAAGGCGTTACAAGCAACTTTAGTTCCCCCCTGAAGACTTCCGTGATGATTCGCTTTGTAAAAAAAAAATTGTACTGTGATACCACACAGGGCCGTTAGTGCCGTTTATTTATAGATTTTTCAGAAAAGCTATCTTTCTGAGACAAAGTGTTACTAAACCCAGGACCCTGCATTCACTATATCTGGACTCCCACAGTGCACAGAACATGAAAGTGCAATTATTTTAGTAAATATGAACTTCTAAATACCTTTTCTCATCAGCAGTTAGAGCAGTCATGTGACTTCTATCAGTGTCCAGCCCAGCACTAGCTAAAGCTTGTAGGAGGAGTTTTCTTTTGGCTCTAGGAGAATGGAAATCCCCTGACCTCTGTCTGGACAGTGCTGATTGGCCCTGTGCTGATCACATGCACTCTCCCAATAAAAAAAAAAACCTCTCTAGCAGTACTCACCAAAGTGAGCAAGTGCATGCCTGGAGATAAGAGATGGTCACTTGAAAAGGGGAGGAACAGAAAAGAAAGGATCAAACGGTCTTTTTACACAATGCAGAGGACTAACCCCTTAGGTTTCACATAGTATATGTGAGTATAACAGAGTATAACAGGCATGCTTTACTGTATATAAAGACTGAATTTACTGTTGTGGGTTTAACTCTATGGATATGATAACTCTAATCTGCTGCTGTAAGGCTAGATTAATGTGAAAGAGATTATTAAAACAGAGCATCACAAGATGAATACCTCTCCTTATTACTTATTTTCTAGAAAAGGCTGATGCTTCACCATTAAACTCCGAAAGCTTGACTAAACTCTGTAGTTGTGGTCAGCAGCACTCCTAATCTCATTAATAAATTAATTAAACAACACTTTAAGACAAAGAGGAAAAAAGAGTTCCCAAGTCTGCATTTTTGCAGTCCTAGTTCAATTCAGTCCTTTAAAACCAGTGGTCCACAAGATGAAGTAAATGTACGTATCAGGCAGCACCATTTATCATTTCTTGACTGATTTTTGCTCCTAATCGCCTTTCCTAATATAATCTCTAGTGTTGATCGGCACTTGGGTCACGGCGCAGGAAGTTTTCAAAGGAAATATGCCATTGTGAGAAAGATCTTTTATGGCTGACTAAAATACACTGAAATTGTTCTTATTTTCTGGAAATTGCTCCTATCCATGAGGGAGAATACAAACCACAAACTAAGCTGTGTAGTTTTAAGTAAACAATTTAATAGAGTACCAAAGCATGTAGCTGTTTAGGAATAACTTTGGCTAACTGGATTGTGATTACTAATGCTAATTTGATGAAAAGCGGGATACGGTTTAATTGATTTTCCTCTAATTCACCAGTGGTACATTACCTTTCTGAAAACATTCATAACATTTTGTTATGGAAGTGAGAGGTGGCAATCGTGATCAGACTTGCAAATTATATATTCATTTTCTATACATGACTACATGTTAAAAAGCTTTTCATTTAGTTCTCATTTGTTAAGCAAAATGTTCTTACTAGTGTATTTCACTACATGAATTAATGTTCTTTTTAATTAATAAGCAAAGCTGCAAAGCCACAGCTATTTTATCCAGAATGTGCTCAGCTATATTGCATACTGAACGGGATTGTGCTTGTAGAATATTTATAATGCTCATTGGTATTGTAGGCATGAGGAACTCGGCTGAGATCACCTCTTGCAAACATTTGTAGTTATGTCAATACTGGTAGACAAAATGTCAAGGACAAGCAGCTGGTTATTCACCGAATGGTCCATGGTCCATTAAATTTGACAGAAAAGCTCCTGTTAATGTAAAAAATTAGCTACTTTGCACAGCAACTATTTCACTAAACTATACACTGTCACAGGTTGTGGATTCCCCTAGCTGTTCACCTATACCACAGCTACCCTAGATTTCACTGTGAGGAACGCTGTTTATGAGGATAATTGCAAGTAATTATATTCTGAATTGTTTGTGCAGCTTTTACAACCTTTTATGCATTATTCTGCAGCATGTTTCATTATCCTGACCCTGGTGTCCATTTATGACACAGAGAATAGCTGCAATTCAGAGGATCGCTGCTATTCTCTGGTCATTCACAGTTTATGACACTCAGGAGATCAGCGGAGAACATGTTCAGCCCAGGGGCGGATTGACCATTTGGAAACTCGGGCACTGCCTGAGGGCCCGCGGTCAGTAGGGAGCCCCATGAGATGCCCCTGGTACTTTTTTCATAGGCTTTTTTGAGTTTGTGCAAGGACACAGGGGCCCCATGATCCCCTATTGCCCGGGGTCCCCATGAGTTGTCAGTCCACCCCTGGTTCAGCCCTTCACTGGAGATCTGTGTTCTCCCTCCAGATTCTCTAGCCCAGAGCTCGAGAATCAGAGGAACCACAAACTAAGCAGCAATAATTTACCTTTGCTTAGTAAACTGATCTTTTACTGTAATCTCGCGAGATTATAGTAAAATCAATTCTCCAGCGTTTGTAGACCATTCTCCCTTCGTTTGGAGAACTGATCTACACTGCTTCATAAACTGCATTCACAGGAGAACTGTGTTCTCCGAGAATGCCAGAGAACTGAGCAGCGATCTTTTACCGCTTTTACCCCTGTCTTTTGAAATATTGTCTATCTTAAACTGTTAAGTAAACACCCAAGTTACAGTTACTTTGACTGATAATTTGGTTGATACCTATTGCTGTTTCATATCTGTAACAGGATTGGCCATGTCACAATGTTGTTAGTAGGGTTAATAACTCTTAGTATCAAAAGGGAATCAAATTTCTCCTGCCCCTTCAATAAAAATCCCCTTTCCTGGCAGGTTTTCTACTACAACAATTACCCAAATACACAGGGCCAGGTCAGGACTTGGGTGACTGGGTCAAGAGACTGAGGGTCCTGCTTGCTCAGCAGGTAGAACTGGCCATAAAGGGGGAAGCAAGGCATTTATCTGTGCACCTTCCAGTGGAAGACCAAAATTCCTTTGGCAAGATAGTTATTCACTTAGAAGTGTATGGTCATGTGACAGCATTTGGTAGACCTTAGGGCTCACTTTATCGGCAGAAAGCAGAGAGTGTGAGAATCCATTTTGCAATATGCATTGAAATGGCAAGACATGGCAGCAGAGATACACTGCAGGGATAAAAAGGGTAAAGTAGGATGGTGTAGAAAAATTTATTTGGATAATATCTAAATTTTATACAAGAACCGTCCCCATAATGAATATAAGAAACAATAATATTCCAACTCTCCCTACAAGGAAGAGATGGTGTATATATAAGGAGGGACTTTAAATGTGCCATAATATATCAAACATATAACAAAATTTAATAACATCTATACAGCTTTATTACAGACAGTATTATACAAAAATGTTTAAAACCATAATCAGCAGAGCAGCATATAATATGTCATCAGACAATATAAGCAAAGGTTTGTACATGTGATATAATTATGTCTCTGTGCTGAGAACAAGTGTACAGGATCAACGTGTTTCGCTAACATTGCTTTATCAGGATCCATGCCACCGCAAGGACATTCACAAACTGTACAGATTAAGATATAATTTTATACATAATGAACTTAACATTATAAAATATCACAAAATACTAAATTTGATATATAACAATCTTACAATGTTGTGGTTTAGGTGGAGAAAAAAACAAAAACCCTCCCCAGGATATCACACTCACTTGGATGTATATAAGAAACGCAGGGGGAGCCATGGGGGGACTCAACAAACAAGACCCTGAAAGATGAAAGCCACCAAATGAACAGTGACCAACACCATCTCAATGCCCCTACCTTGTCCTGACTGTAATAGAACGCCAGGTGTATTATAGATGTAGGGAAGAAGAAGCAGAGACCCACAAAGGAATAAAATGGAACAAACCAACTATAATGAAACCAACACATTATATGTATGCACAAACAACACAACGGCAGTTCCAGGACTGTATCACCTTACTATTATATTTATACAGTATTTATAAAGTGCCAATAGTTCGCTCAGCGCTGTACATTACAAAGGGGGACAGAACATGTGACAGAACAATACCAATACAATGCAAAACATGAGGGGATCGAGGGCCCTGCTCTTTCGAGCTTACAATCTAGAAGGATAAACCAAACCTCCCCTAGACCTACCTCATCAGTAGGCATCTTAAATCCCCCACAGATCAATTGAAAAATAAAGATTTTTTCCCAATGAACTCAAGAGTCACAAAAGAGAGCGTAAAATCAATAAAGAGGAGAAAAAAAGAGGGGAGTCTCACAAATAATATACCATAAAAAATCAGAACAAATCTAAATAGGTGTACCTACAATGTCAGAGCAACCCTCTCTCTAAAAACATACCCAAGAGTATGAGTCCTTCCAGCCTCACTCCATCATAACCAGTGCTGTCTCACAAGGCAGATAAGATACAAGATATCTATAGCTAGCGAGGAGGGAGAAGATCCCCACTAGCTGTCAAATCGGGGGAGCAGGGGCCAGTCTAACCATAACATGCTCCATGTTACACGCTGAATATGGGTGTAACATGTAACATGTTAAGAAAGATGAACCTATCCTTTAATTTATAAGCTAAGGTTTATTGGAGTGGAGTGAATGGTATGTACATAGACAGAGGGCTGGCTTCAGGAACTGGTAGAGAGAGTAGTGGTAATGACCTTGAGTGGTCTGGGGCCGTAATGGATATGCCCCAGGCTTCTGTCCTGGGCCAGTGTTGTTTAACTTGTTTATAAATAACATAGTTTGAAATTAAAAGCACAATTCCTGTATTTGCTGATAATACAAAATTATGCAGAGACATAACTTTAGCACAGGATGTATGAACATTAAAGGAAGATCTGGCCACAATAAGGGGATAGACTGTACGGCTGCACAAATATCATGTGACATAAAAAATTGCAATACCCACCATTTTATTTTCTATGGCCTCTGCTTTCAGAAATTATATGTTGTTTGGGGGTTCTAAGTAATTTACTAGTAAAAAAATGCTGATTAAAAAAAAAAAATTCTAAATTGTCCCGGTAGGAAAGCTGTTAATAAAGGGTCTGGAAAACCTCAGCTGTGAGGAAATATTAAGTAAATTAAATGGATTTACCTTAGAGAGGAGACACTTCAGAGGAGACCTCATTGCTAATAACAAATGTATCAATGATGACTGTAAAGCCAGTAGCTACATGTTTAATCCTAGGTCCCTGATAAGGACACATAGTCACAATTTAAGACTTGAAGAAATGAGGTGTAAATGGAAATTGTTTGGAGAGTACGTTCTTGCGAGAGTAGCAGAAATGTGGAACTCCCTTCCATGAGATGTGGTATTGACAAATTGGGAGTAGTGACAAATTGAAAAAACTGCTAGGTGTCTTGCTCGATGAACACATCATACAGGGATATGTATACTGTTAGAAAACAAACTAACTTAACCACATACAGTAATCACTGACACACACAAAACCACATCTAGCTTGGACTGGATTGACCTGTGTCTTCTTCCAACCTTATTTACAAGTTAACAATTTACCAACATCCAACATTAACACATTGGGCTAAAATTAAGTTTTTTACCTAGTAGAGTTTGGTAGATACAGCAGACTAACATTCTTCCTCAGACCAAAACAGAGAATAAAATCTCTAAATTAAAAAGAAAAAGAAATATAAAAAAAGACAGTAAATGGCATTACTGTTTTGTTTTTCACCGCTTTTGTTGACATCTATGATGTACTCAAATCAATAGATCCAAACAGGAATCTACCCTCTTTCAATAAATCTACTATATATGTGACAACAAAATATTCCCCATATACTTTCTACAAAAAGTGGAGGAGCAGTATTTATTGTGGCCAGGTGTCAGGACGTCTATCTCTCTTATGACTAAGTCCCGGATGTGACGAAACGCGTCAAGAGGAAGTGACGTCATACGCAAGGAGCAGACAGGAACCGGAAGTGTCGCAGCGGCCATCTTTGTTGAGGAATCACTGGACACTTGAGAGTGGACTGCATGGGAACTGTGGGAACTGCCTGGTAATCCCCACTCAGTGGGGCTTGTCCAAAATTGATTATACTATTTATATGCCTATGTTTTCAACTCCTTATACAAGTGGATTCATTAAAACTTGAAACATACATGGAGGTACGTTATATTTTATAAACCTATGGATGTGGAAGGCATGGTAAGATCATCCTAACAGGAAGCGAAGGAGGAGAGGAGGATAAAGCTTCTTTGGAGGATTTCCAGTTATATATATATACAAAAGGCGTGAGTTTCATCTACTGTTGGTAAGGGTATATTGGCCTTACTCACTAGAAGTGTCACGTGTGGGGAGGAATCTCACTTAGTAGATCACTTCATGATTTTATTATTTATGAGCACAAGTGTTTTATTACCTTTCTCTTTTGGAAGGTTCTCACAAGTGTTAAATATATAATTTTTCACTTAAAGGTTGCACAATTGTTTGATACACATTTGTGTGTGCATGTTTTTATATATATATATATATATATATATATATATATATATATTCATAAATTTTATTATATATTTTTTTTTTTTTTTTTTTTTTTTTTTTTTTTTTGTGGTATTATGGTAATGCACTATTGTGAGTTTCTTTTTCTTTGAGGTTCTTCACAACAATCAACACTGCAAGAAATAGACATTTTTTTTTCATTTCTTTTTATTTTATTTTTATTTTTATCTTTATTTTTTAATTTTTATATATTTTTTCGTTATTGAGACACTGGACTTTATATTATTGGATTTAAATCACAGAGACACTGGATTTATGATTTTGTAGAAAGTATATGGGGAAATATTTTGTTGTCACATATATAGTAGATTTATTGAAAGAGGGTAGATTCCTGTTTGGATCTATTGATTTGAGTTTAAGCTTTCAGGGGGTTGAAAGTTTTTTTCCAATTTGGAATTGGTGTAGGAGCAAGGGTGGTTTTGGTTTTACATTATACCTATATCATTTTCACATTATATTATATATCTATGATGTACTGGCTTCTGATGTTGTTGTTTCATGCACATGTTCACAAGTTCCCTGTGGAATAACTACAGGGTAGAGAAAAGCATCATTTGATTGCACAAAAAATGTTGATGTTTTCCTGCGGTGTTGGCAGACCCTGTAAAAAGATCTTTTTTCTTGAATAGAAATTCTTCTTCTACTGTTTTGAAGTACAATTGTGAGCCTAATGGACCATAGTCGGAACTTCTTGATGCTTTCTTGTAGTGTAGCGCCCTGTACAAACAGCAATTTGCAAAAGTTTAGACATCCCTGGTTTATTTGACATTTTAAATTCCTTCAGTGTTTGAACTCCTTAATGTTTTCCTACAATGTATCTGTGCCAGTTAAAATACACTATTTTGCCAAAAATATTGGGACACTCCTCTAAATCATTGGATTCAGGTGTTCCAATAACGTCCATTGCCACAAATGTGTAAAATCAAGGATCTAGGCATGCAGACTGCTTCTACAAACATTTGTGAAAGAATGGGTCGCTCTCAGGATAAGTCCATATAATAAGTCCATCCGTGAAATTTCCTTGCTACTAAATATTCCACGGTCAACTGTTAGTGGTATTATAACAAAGTGGAAGCAACTGGGAACAACAGCAACTCAGCCGTGAAGTAGTAGGCCATGTAAAATGACAAAGAGGAGTCAGTGTATGCTGAAGCGCACAATGCACAGAAGTCCCCAACTGTCTGCAGAGTCAATAGCTAAAAACCTCCAAACTTCATGTGGCCTTCAGATTAGCACAACAGTGCGTATAGAGCTTCATGGAATGGGTTTCCATGGCCGAGCAGCTGCATCCAAGCTTTACATCACCAAGTGCAATGCAAAGTGTCGGATGCAGTGATGTAAATCATGCTGCCACTGGATTCTAGAACAGTGGAGATGTGTTTTCTGGAGTGCCAATCCGATAGATATGTCTGGGTTTGGCGGTTGCCAGGAGAACGGTACTTGCCTGACTGCATTGTGCCAAGTGTAAAGTTTGGTGGAGGGGGGATTATGGTGTGGCGTTGTTTTTCAGGGGTTGCGCTTGGCCCCTTAGTTCCAGTGAAGGGAACTGTTAAGGGGTCAGCATACCAAGACATTTTGGACAATTTCATGCTCCCAACTTTGTGGGAACAGTTTGTCCCCTTTCCAACATGACTGTGCACCAGTGAACAAAGCAAGGTCCATAAAGACATGGATGAACGAGTTTGGGGTGGGAGAATTTGATTGGCCTGCAAAGAGTCCTGACCTGAACCTAATAGAACACCTTTGGGATGAATTAGAGTGGAGAATGCGAGCCAAGCCTTCTCGTCCGACATCAGTGCCTGACCTCACAAATGCGCTTCTGGAAGAATGGTCAAACATTCCCATAAACACACTCCTAAACCTTGTGGACAGCCTTCCCAGAAGAGGTGAAGCTGTTATAGCTGCAAAGGGTGGGCCAACTCAATATTGAACCCTATGGACTAAGACTCGGATGCCATTAAATTGCATGTGCGTGTAAACGCAGGCGTCCCATTACTTTTGGCAATATAGTGTATTTTCCAAATGAATTTGGATTTTTCACTAAATAGAGTACTTTTTCTGTTTCCAGATTTGTATCTTCCCTTTAAGCATTAAAGCGGAACGTCATCCTGTAAACAAAACTTGTAAAGTAAGCAGCTACAAATACTGTAGTTGCTGGCTTTTTAAAAAAAACACATACTTACCTGTCCCAGAGTCCAGCGATGTCCTCACCCGACCCAAACCTTTTTTTTTCCTCGGTCTCTGGCCCCGGAATCTTAACTGTGGGCAGCCGACTGTGACTCCTTGTGGCTTCACAGCCGGTTGCCCACTGCGTATGCGCGAATGCTGTGCTTTGTGATTGGTCTGAAGTCTGTTCGGATCTCTGACATTTCCCAAGAGGCGGGGGAAGGAGGGGAAACTTCCGTGTCATTTGCCTAGACAACTGGAGCGGAAGTGGGAGCAAGTATCTTATTCTGACAGATACCTGCTCCCCTCCAAAAAACCCTCCAAATATGGCGGAGGGGGGGAGGAGGAGAAAAAATGGAAACTACCCTTTTGGGTGCAGTTCCACTTTAAGTATCTTCTTTGCCTCACCTTGACCAATAATGGGGAACTCTAAGCAATAGCATGCATCTATAGCAAAACTATGACGGGAAATATATCACTATTGATTTCCCCTCCCACCCGCTCTTAAAGCAGAACTTCAGCCAAAAACTACAAGATAAAAATAAATAACCCATTAAAAGATAAAATAACAAAACCAATATTTTTTGCAATATTTACCTACAATTCATAGTTTTTTTGTTTAACCACCTCAAGAATGAGCACTTTCAACCCCTTCCTTCCCAGGCCATTTTTTAAGCATTCAATGATGTCACAATTTGAATGAAGAACACTGTTCCCAAGTGAATTTTTTTTTTTTTTATAGAAAGAAAAAGCTTTCTTTTGGTGATATATATATATATATATATATATATATATATTTTTTTTTTTTTTTTTACACACACACAGTATATATATATTTGAAAATTGATCAGTCCTGATGTAATGACTGCCTATCTCATTTCTTGAAGCCCTAAAATGCCAGAACAGTACAACAAATACCCCACACATGACCCCTTTTTGGAAAGTACCGTAGACCATTCAAGGTATTTAGTAAGAGGCAGGGTAGGTTTTTGAAGTTGTAATTTTTGGTCACACATTTTTGGAAAATGCAGAAAATAATTACTTGTATTTTTATTTTCTCAAAGTTGTCATTTTAACAAGCTATTTCTCACACAGCATAAGCATACTTATAATTACACCACAAAACACATTCTGTTATGCCTTCCGAGTATGGGGATACCACGTGTGTGAGACTTTTTCACAGCCTAGATGCATAGAGGGGCCCAAAATTTAAGAAGCACCTTTGGGTTTAAATTACGCATCCAATTTCCTGACTAGCTATCACATTTTAATGCCCTGGAGTAGCAGGACAGTGTAAACAAAAAAAACTTTTTTTTTTTACATAAAGTTTTCAATTAATAAGGTATTTGTAACACTTTTCATTGGTATACTTAGAAATACACCCCAAAACACATTCTGCTAGTCATTCTGAGTATGGCACTATCACATAGAGGGGCCCAAAATTCAAGAAGAATATTCAAGCATGCTAAGGGCATAAATGATGCATCTAATTTCCTGACTACCTAACACATTTCTGGAGGCCATGGAGCACCAGAACAATGTAAACACCCACAAAAGGACCACATTTCTGAAAGCATTGCACAGAGCAGGTAAGTATAGAAGTGTTTGTTATTTTAATTAAAAAAATCCCTCAAAAAAATGAAGGTTTAATATCACTTTAACCACTTGCCATCCTGAGGATTTACCCCCCTTAATGACCAGGTCTCTTTTTGCTATTCGCCACTGCACTATTTCAACGGATAATTGCGCGGTCATGCAATGCTGCACCCAAACTAAATTTATGTCCTTTTTTCACACAAATAGAGCTCTCTTTTGGTGGTATTTGATCACCTGTGCGCTTTAATTTTTCACGCTATAAACAAAAGAAGACCAAAAATTTGGGAGAAAAATTATATTTTTTACTTTCGGCTATAAAAATATATAGTAAACACAAAGTTAGTCATAAATTTAGGCCAAAATGTATTTTGCTACATGTTTTTGGTAAAAAAAATCCCAATAAGTATATATTGATTGCTTTGTGTGAAAGTTATAGCATCTACAAACTATGGTAAAGATACTGCAATTTACAACATTTTTGTGCTATACAGCGCTGCGCTAGTTTAACTGACAATTGCGCGGTCATGCAATATGGTACATAAAGGAAATTTACATCCTTTTTTCACTCAAATAGAGCTTTCTTTCAGTGGTATTTGATCACCGGTGCGCATTTTATTTTTGGCTATATAAGCAAAAAAAAAAACTAAAAAAAAACCACAACAATATTTTCTCATTTCTATCACAAAAATTTTTTTGAAAAAAACTAAAATTTCGTCATAAATGTAGGCCAAAATGTATTTTGCTTCATGTTTTTGGTTAAAAAAATCCCAATAAGTGTATATTGATTGCTTTGTGTGAAAGTTCTAGCATCTACAAACTATGGTATAGATAATGGAATTTTCATAGCTTTTACTTTCTGA